AACACAACGTGGTGCGATCATCCCCCTTGCGCGGAGTGAGGGTTCTCGACCCCGCACAACATGATCTACTCGACCACCAGTCATGGTTACCGCCAAAACAACCCCGGTAACCTGGTTGCCGAGTTCACGAAGTGAATTGGTTTGTTTTACAACGTCGTTGCCAAGCGACGAAAACCCAATCCCGATGGCAAACACCGAGGGGGGGCGATGGGGTGAGGTAAAATTTCGGTTGTTCGTTGTGCCTAAAAAACGTTTTAGTTAAATCACCAAGTATTATTCCTTCGAAGTAACTGTTATAAGGTAAGGGAAGACGGATTGAAGACAAGGTAGTTCGGGAACATTGGTGTAAGGAACTTGTTAAGGTCGTGAGGTGTATCTAAGAGTATTTTCCAAATGGGAAGGCTTCGTCAACCTATGAGGTGTTAGTTACGGTTCATGTTTTCATGTTCTGGAACGAGCCATGTTGCCAAGGGAGCAATGTACAATTCACGGCTGCGAGAGGGATAAGACTGCTCATCGCCCGCTTTCATCCGGTTGGATTTGCCTTTTCTGACAACGCCGTGTCCTTTGTGTGAGTCAGAGACGGAAAATAACATGTTGCTCATTGATGTGCATGTTGACGCCAGATGTACTTACCACGTGTTGTCGTCGAAACAAGAGCCGAAAATGGTCGCGCTCAACATCTGTTATGATTCTGAAGTCAAGCCCGAAACGTGTTTCCCATGCTGTACCTACGACAGATCTCGGCCACCCATACGGCCAAGATACAACTCCGCGCTGCGCAATACAAGCGAACGACCCATTCTTCCTTTCAACACGGCCAAAAAAGCGTCATGGGGCAGCCTCATCCGACCAACATCGCAACTCGACGGTCACATGGCCAACCGCGGGCGGGCGCAAACAATGTCGTGGCTTCCAGCGCGGCTCTTATTCACTAAAACATTAGCCCTGTGACGAGAAACAGCGTGGCGTACTGCATCGCTCTCTCCCCTGGCCCGAACCCCTTGGCCTCGGCCCTCTCCAGCCGACGAAACGCTCGGCGGACCACGCCTCCTTGAAGCAGTAGAGACCGGAGGTGCGGAGCCCTGCCCAGCAGCCACTGCAGGATGAGAATCGAGGGAACATGGGCGGTGTGCGCGTGGTCCAGCGCCTCCAAGCTCATCTCCAGCAGCTCTTGAATCTGATTGGTCGGTGGGGGGAGCTGTTATTTAGTCTTGAATATTTTGATAAAGTGTCGGGTTTTCTGTTGTTGGTTGGAGTGGGGAAGGGACGAATGGGTGGGTGGTTACTTCCATCCATCCACACGCTGCAAAACGTAGAGCCTATCGTGCCTAAAAGATATGGCCTGCAAGAACCGCGACATTTTTCACACCGGCTGGGAATACACTGAACCAACGCGGATCGCTGCAACGCATTTGGGGCAAAGACGGGAGGTGCCCCTCAAAGCGGGAGGTACCGCATAGCGGAGAGTCGGGACCGTGAGACACACAACAGGTCTCGAAACTGGTCGGTCGGCCGAGTATGTAGGCACAGGCTAGATGGTGACCTAGACGTCAAGGCGGCCGTGTAACCTTGGGTGCACCCGAGGCTGAATTTCAGAAACGGACCGCGAAGTGTCAGTTGTTCGAGTTCTTTTGCAAAGGGTAGCCTGTCTACTTTCGTAGCCGCTTGAAATCGCTCGTGGCCCGGTTTCAACCTCCGGGAGACAAAACGGCATGGAAATACCCTGTCGACCAGTTACATGAACGGCAGAGTCTTTTCTGCTAAAAGCAGGTTGAGTAAGAATAACTAAAAGTTCTCAAGCGTGTGAAAGGGCAGCTTCATACTAATTTCCCATAGATCTATTGGGCCTTCGAGCAGTACGCCAAGAAGTTGTTACCAAACAAACCT